GAGTTAGCTCTCTTTAAATTATCTTGTGTAATAATTGAGATCTAGTGATCTACCCAAGATTACAGATTTGCCCCTATCTTTAAATTTTATTAGATTCTACATTTATCTTTTGTATTTTAAAATTTATTTTCATCACAATGATTATTAGGGGGGACAATATTTGTTTATAGTTACATGATACATTTTTAGTTGTATTACTTTGTGATCAGTGACTGATTTCTGTATTTTAAATTTATTAGAATTTTTTAATAAATTAGTCTAGGCAGGGAAGGAAAAGTAATTTTCCCTTTTCCCATCTCAGTTCTTAGCTGAGATGTCCCCTGTGATGAAAGACAGCTTAGCAGGAGAAAAGCAAACAGAAGTTTACTAGCATGTATACCTCCTGTATACATGGGAGATACCCAGGAAGACTGAGTAACTCTTCAAAATAGCCCAAGCCACCACCTTAAACACTAGCTCCAGCTAAAGGCAAAAGATGCTGGGGGTGGGGAGAGCCAGTTATGGGAGGTTATCAGGCAAAGCATGGGAAAGGAGGGTATAGTTGTTATGCAGATTTAATTCCATGCTTTCTCCATTGATAAGTTTCTAGAGATTTAGTCATCCTCCTCTTCCTGGTGTAGAGAGACACAAGTGGAGATTTTCCTTGTAAGAATAAATGTCTCTTAGAAAAGGGTAACTTCTACTCAGATTTCAGAGCTTCTTTCTCTGCTATTTCTTAAAAATAATTAGCTCAAGATAATTCTTATGCCAGAGAGGCATATTTTGCGGTGTTATATTCTGCTTTATATTATTTATATATTTTTTTATTATTTATATTTTATATTAAATATTATTTGTTGTATTATTTATTTTATATTATTGATGTTCATTATTTTACTATATAATATCTAGTATAAAATAATTTTATTATTACTTATATAGTATAAGTAACTTATTTACATTCTGTTTAAATGATAAATTTCTTTAACTATACCATTGTCATGTATAAAGGAACCATCCTCTTTATGCAATACAAAATTCATTATGGTTTATTTCCTTAATTCTAAGATTCTATAATTATAAGAGAAACCATTAATTTAATAACAGCTTTTTCAGGAAGAATAAACAACACTGCATTAAATGTACACAAATTGTTATTGTCTACTAACCTATAAGAGCATGTATTTATCCTTACTATTATGTACCTTCTTCTTTAGTACCTCACAATTTAAGTCTGAGCCTTTTTCATCAAATAGAACCTCAACGTTTTAAACGTAGACTTACGATACTGACCTCTTTATAAAATGTTGAGCTTTATTGAACATCACTGGTGCTTCTTTCTTTCCTAACAGCTGCTTTAGAAATTCAGCCATGAGGTTTTGGCACTTAGATGTTTGGTTCCTGAGTAATAGTCTTTATGACTCATGCGTTGGTCATACCAACTTCACTATCTTTTAAAATTCTGTGATTTATTCTGAGAGATTAGGCTTTTGTTTTTGCCTTATGATTGCATCGCCTAGCCTGTGATGGACAGTCTTCTATACACAATTATTTCCGTGTCAGTGCTGCATCAGACAGTAATCATTTTGAAAACATTCTAAGTGAAAGTTGGGAATCCAAAATGATTTGTTAAAATCTAGCTATTTGGGATATGCACTGCAAAGCAAAGCACTCAATTGACATGAAAATAGAATTAACTCCTTCCCCACAAGGCTAAATTTGCACCTTCCATCAAGTCACAACTTCTTCCTTCAGATGCATTCCTGACTGTTTCGAGCTTCTTTTGGCTTTAATTATAAAAAGATTCTGATTTCAGAAATATTCACATTAAAAAATTTCCTTTCTAATGAGGGAATATCATATATCTATTATTTAATGCTAATTGATTTCACATTTCCGGTCCTCTTGGCTAGCATCAAAAATCCAAATGCCTCGGGGCTCAGGCAGGTTACCTCATATAATACAGTAGGGCTTGTAGAGGCCTGTGGGGAATAGAAGATCACACAACCTGCCAAATGACATTTACATCCCGCTCGCAAGAAAATTACAGCTTGTTACATCCTCTAGGACCTTATTTATCTAGTCTCTGCTTGACATCATAAATTATGATGAAACCTTGTATCATAGTTATGTTTCTATAAATTTTCATTTTTAGCAATTTTGTTTTTAGATCTTTCTCTCTGGATTCTCTGGTACATCAAGTTCCATTGCAATTACTTCTTTCATCTTTGTGAGATCACTTTTAGTCTATTTGGTATCTCTTCCTTTGCATTCTACTTTGCCCCGTTTCACAGTTTCCCCTCCCTCTTCCTTTTCTGTCTTTCTGTCTCTACCACTCTGACTTGCTCTCTGCCTTTCATGCTGAAGTTCGTCAGCCCTGTATTCTCGGGGGACCAGAACGTGAACTATCAGTCTGTCCCTCTTCTAGAAATATTGAAGCCTAGACTAAAATAATGTCTTTCTTTCTCCTTGTTCCCATTTAGCATCTTTATTTTCTTTGAATGCATCATTTCTTTTTGATAAATATTTAATGATTACATACATGACAGTGTTGTCCACTGATCCGTGGCAGTTTGGTCATGCATCAATTTATATCAGTGGCATTCAGTGCATAGAGGTAGGTGAGAGATATGAATATTCTCACCACACTTTCCTACCCAATTAAAAAGAAAAAAAGTTTCAGATAGACTACTATTGTAGGAACAGAAAACTATTCCCTTCTTCCCTTCTAGAGTCTTTGGCTGGTCTAACAATTAAATTGACATAAGACAGATTAACAGGAGAAAAGCAAATTTTATGCATATGGGAACCCCATACACATATGAGACTCTTTGGCAGTCAGGAATGGAGGCTTATATACCAATCTGAGCTAAGGAGAAGTGGGTAGGGGTCCAGGGCTTCAAAGGGTAGGAAGATGAGAAGAGCAAGTGTTTGGTAAACACATGTTTGCCCTGTGATGCTGGTAAGTCTTTCTGATATAAAACGTTTTCTCCGGTAATATATCTCTCTTCCTGGTGCAGGTTTCCTATGTAAATTCTTTTAGGCAGTTAAGTGGGAGGTAAGAAAGTTCTTCCTGCCTCTGCTGGGCTCTGACTGTCTTTAGCTCAGAATAATCCACATGTCAAAGTGGCACATTCTAGGGTGGCACATTTTGCTCCAACTCACTACTGTTACTGAAAGCTTGATGAAGCCCAGCTCTCTTGTCCTCTGAGATGTTCCAACATCATCTTTCCCCCCCTACTTTTAAAAATTGAGGTATAATTCAGATAACATAAAATTTACCATTTTAGTGTTCAGTACAATTCAGTGATCAATATCTTTTTTAAAAACGAGGTAAAATTTACATAACATAAAATTAATGATTAGCCATTTTAAAGCATGCAATTCAAAGGCATCTGGTGTATTCACAGTGTTGTACAACCATCACCTCTGTCTAGTTCCAGGACATTTTCATCACGTCAGAGGGAAACCCTGTACCCATCCAGTGGCATCTTACCTGGAATGTTCACTCAACACAAATATGACAACATTCTCGTAGTGGATTTAGCTAACTTTCTACCTGGAATCAGGCCAGATACATTCCCCAAGAGAGCAGCTGAAGATAGGACCATTTTGGAATGAAGCCCCAAGGTGCCATTTTGAAGGGTATAGATCTCTGGGCTCACTAGATTCCTAGAAGCTGTTCTGGTAAAGTCAGGGCCTGGTCAATATTTGTAATTGATCCATTCATTTTGAATACAATTATTTCACTAACTAAAGCTCATTTCTCATATTCTTTATGGTGATGAATAAATCCTCTTCTGTTGATCAGAGATAAATGACTGAGGCATTTTTGTCAGCCACTTCTGAAGTGTGGGCTTCCGACAGAAATTTGCTAAACAATCCTGGAGCATGTGTTTCTAATTAGGGTAACTGGCCACCCCTAGAGGGTAGATTGCACCTAACAGACTTACTCACATTAATCATGTTGTCTGTGTTGCTTTAACATGGTGTTACAACATATGCACAATTAACTTTTGCAACTTGAATTATAAAAATTGAACCAAAAGGAGAGCCAAGGAAATGTTAAAATGGAGCTCTTATGAAGCCTGTGCCCCAGGTCCAGCTTGAAATGGTAGCCTAAATCTACTGTTCCCTCCATTGTCCTTAATTACCATGTCTTTCTAAGTGTGTGTGAGCAGGTCGCTGTGTTGAAAGTGATTCTAAAGGTTAAAGATATGTATTATTCATACAACATGGCACCCGAACCTATGGAAGCTAATTCAGCTGATCTTCAGCTGAAGTTGCAGTCTTCTGGTTCAACATGGGAGAAAAATGCACTGTGTTATACATACCGAGAGGCACGGTTTTCCAAAGTAGTTAAGGAATTTTCAAGGATATCTTTGACTCTGATTTTTTTACTGTAACTACTTTAGAATCCACCTCTCCTAATGTCTACCCCTCTCCCACACCAACACACCCAATAAGATAAGACTGGGTCTAGCACTGAGCTAGGCTTTTTGAGGTTACTGAAGAAGTATAGGGTGGGGTCTCCAGTGCATTGGAAGAATTTCAGCCCTGCGTGTTTCAATTGCCTCAAGGCAAGCAGTCAGCAGGACCAGAAGTCAGAATAATTTTGTCGGAGAACCAGGGTAGCTTTGTGTTATTTTTAATGAGAAAAAAATGACAGACTCATATTTGTCTTCTGGAAAAGAATATTATTTTCTCTCTTAACACATACAGAATCCCACTGTGAAATTCCAAGGACAGGCGCTAGTTCAATTTATGGTAGAGCTGAATGATGGATTTATTGCTTGAATATAATTTCCTCATTCTGACCAGAGTGATGAAAATATAAAATGATCTTTATATATTGTAACCTAGATTGTATATCCATTCTCACAGCTGATGTGTAGAATGTCTTCTTGCAAAAATTTCCTCAATTTTTTCTTTACATTAACAAAACATATACAGGCAGTAGCTTTATTGATTTTAAGTTTGCTGAATTTTTTTTCACTTCTTACTTTCTGTGATTCCAACAGGTATTATCTTTTGATGCCTATTTGGAAGATGAAGTGCCTGATAAAAGGCAAGAAAACTATAGAATTAGACGCTATAAAATCTACTTCTACCTTGAAGATGACACAATTCAAGTAAATGAACCAGCATTGAAAAACAGCGGATTGCCTCGAGGTATCTAAAGCAGAGTTATAGTTCTTTTACTTCTAACTCCTGCCTGTATATACTGTCTTTCTCTGGCTTTTTAAAAGACCCCATACTCCTTTTGGCAATGGTGAGTATAAATGTATTGTTAGCTCGTAGTTATTGAAGGTGACTTATCAGCTTTCTACCCCACCACCCCCCACCGCAACAGTGGCCACTCACTCTTCTGTGGCAGCCTTGTCTCCTTTCCCATGCTGCCAACTCTCCTGTGTCTTTGATTTTTTCCTCCAAACTCTTTGGTCTTTCCACCATGACCATATTACTTCCTTCACAGTACCCTCAGCGGAAGACAGAAGACTGTTCTCCACCGCCACTTCCAGATTGGGATTCTCTCTCCTTTCTTGAGTTCACTGCCATTTGCTTCAATCATCTCTCATCCTCATCCCTATTAAGTATACACTGTGATGGTGCTTCCAGAGAGGGCCATTGTTCCTTCGCCCCACATGTGCCAGTCAGCTTTATCCACATTCCCCTTCCACCAGATAAGCGTTAACTCTGTCATGTGGCCTCCAGAGATGCTAACCCTCGCTTGCATTGGTAGAAGCGTGGCAGAGACGAAGGGAGGTGACTGATATCTTCTGTGTGTGCTGGGAGTCCTTTACATGGGATTCCCATGTAATGGAGTTCTGGAGTTTATGGAGTTTGTAATGGAGTTTATGCTGAGTTCTGGCTGCCTCGTGGGGCAGCAGCCATGATGGTGAAAGGACTGGAAATTTGTCATGTGTAGGGCAGAGTAGTGAAAAGGGATATTTGTCTGGAGGGGAGACTCAGGTGTGCCTGATAAATGTCTTACAACATCTAAAGGGCTGTCATGTGGAGGAGGGATGACCTAATTTTCAGTATCCTCAAGGACAGGACCTAGGGAGTCGAAATTCAGGTCGATAAGAGGAGTAATTTGCTGGCACAGAGGTGCAAGCAGAGAGGTTCACACACTTAAGAGAAGGTACAAGTGGATGGAAGGGCCACCCTGCCCAGATCCTGGGGTATGCAGGGGTCCTCTTGCTCTCTTTCTGTTGCATTGACCTTTCCTGATAATAGCGTGGTTTGAAGACCAGAGCTGAAGTTCAAGAAAGACCACAGGCAAAAGGGGCCTGAGGCTCATGGCACACACTTACTCTATTGGAAAGATGTAGTGACCAGTGGACCTGGCCAGAGCTGTAGCTTGCCAGTAAGCCTGCTGAATAGTCATGGCCTTTATTTGCGTTTCTTAAGCAAAGGACATATGGGGCCAGAATGGGGGTCACCAATGAAGGAGTGGCCGGATTAAGGCCTCATGAATATTGAGTACTCATGAATATTTACTGCCTCATATATATTTAGTGTTTCATGAATATCTAGAGCCCAGGTGCCTCATGTAGATTTAATACATTTTTAAAATTAGTTATCTCTTGGTCCTTCCATCCCTGTCTTTCTATGATTAACATATATATGCTCCAAGTACTATCAAATTATTATTTAAGACATCTTACAATTTTCTGCCTACGGTGAATAAACTTTGCTTACTACTTATCTGGGCCCAGTGCCTCCACATTAATATACCACCATGGGTTCCAGGGGGAGAAACAGCAATTTTAGGACCTTAGGTCTCTGAGTATAATGTTATGATGAATCACTATGCAAAGGACTTCCTTCAGTGCTTGTGAGATTGGGGTTTTTCTTAGAGCGTGGCTTCATGATGTCTGGATGATTAATTGGGAGCCAGTCGGCATCGTCGTGAAATGTTTGTTGAATGCTTGCTCCATGCCAGGCACTGTGCTGGGTTTTGGGAAAACGAACAATAGAAGTAAGGCCCCTTATACCCAATCCCAGGTATACCTCTTATACCCATATACATATAGGCATGCAGGTTGGAGAGGAAAGGAAGCCAGGCAACTAGTCCTAGAGTTTTGCGATTATTCAGGTGAGAAATGCTGAGGATCCAAACCAGGACAATAACAGTAGGAACAGAAAATAGGGGAAAGATTTTAGAGACGTTTGGTTGGCAGCTGATGGGCCTTGGCCAGCGATTAAATATAGAGAGTGAAGAAGGGGAGTATCAAATGATAAAGTACCTACTTTATCATTATCTCATTTAATCAACCTGTAGACCATCTAAAGTAGGTCATCATCAGCTTTTACAGAAGAGAAACAGACTTAGAGAAATCATTCGTTGCATCTGAACCTTAACTGATTGCTTCAGAGCTCAGCTGTGGTTGAGAGGCTGGTGATGTTACTGAAGTCCAGGAGCATGGAGAAAGGAGCAGCACTGGGGATGGAGCTGCGGTGTGGTTGTTTGGGTCATGAGGCTTTTGAAGTTGTGTTGGGACATCGGTATGATGGTGCCCCCTAGGCAGGTGGAACCTTGCGATGTGTTTTAAAGGCTAGAGATGTGGCTTGGGAATCAGGAGTGCCCAGATCATGACCAGAATCAGTCCATTCTACCATGTTGGAAGAGAGCCGCTATTGAGGTGCTGGAAAGAGGAAGAAGATTCGATTTAGTGTTACCTTACTAGTGGAGGGAGAAGGTGAAAATTGGTGTGGGGAGGCAGTATGAGCTGTTCTCAGTATTCTGTGCACTGATTGACAGACCATCTACTCCCTGGTCCTTTTATTTGGAGAACTTGTGGCTTAATGATAAAACTTTTAGGGAATATGGAAATGCCTTGATATTTAAGAAAAGGTTTTCACAAACTGTTAAGATTGAAAGTGTGACATTTTATTTTGTAAGGGGACAAGAGGTCTTTTTACTTTTTAGGGTCATTTTAAACATATGTAATGCAGTTTTTAAATATTGACAAGAATAGATTAGAAAATGTTTAAATAATTATTTCAAAACATGAAGAAAATTTATAGCTTTTAATTTCTATGAACATCTCTTTTACCTAAGTGCATTAGTTTAGGTAAGTGACATTATTGCTTTAGCAAAAATTTTTCCTATCAATTTTCACTTAAATTCTTAACTCTGATATTCCCTAACTAATCTTTGCTTATTTATTTTTTGATTACCTTCCCCAAATGACATCACATTTATACAAGTGATGGACTGGAGGTCATAGGACATCCCGAACTTGCATTAGTGACTTGCACTATGTTTTTATTGTTATTACTTTTTAAGCAAAAGTTCATATCCCTTTAGCTCACTGACCCCTGTCCAGTGAATCTTAGTTTTATTAAACTCCAAGAAGAAAAATGAAATGCAGCCTCTATGAGAAACTTGGAAAGGGTTTTATTAAGACTTTCAGATTCTTGATTTCAAATCTCACATAGGCAGATTCCCAAGGCAAATCAAAGATAGAATGATTTATTTGAAAATGATTTTTATGTAAGTAGGAGGCAATGTTATTCATAAAGACTCAGGGGAGAGAAAAAAAAAAAACCTCAGAAAAAGACAATGTTAAAGTCTCTTTTGAAACTTTCAGGATTTCTGATTGGCTCACTGTGACAGGACATTTCCCTGAGCGAGGATGCAGCTCACGGGATGGGTACAGAATACATCATAATCACGATATGTAACAAGGCGGATTTGTCAGCAGAGTGGGGATGCCGGGTGGGCTATAGCAAATCCTGTGGAAAGCAAACACAAGTAAGCACTCTGTCATCAAGCTTTGTTTAGAAAGAAACCAGTCTCTCTTGAAATATTTAATACGACAATTACTTGTTCAGGAAGGTCTGTTACAACAGAGGATACTTTGGAAATTCATTTAAATGCCTTCTCCAAGCTTTCCTAAATTAAACGATTGGGAAAAAGGAAATGAGCTTACTAAGTCAGGGGCTCAGACCTCTGTGGGGTGAGGTAGGTAGTGTTTCTTTCAGTCGTGTCTTGAGTGGCCTGGGAGGGCTTTCCATGTGCCTCTGGACCCTCGGAAGGGGGTTAGGGGTCACATCTAAGTGCCACGCACTGATGGTGCTCCTGTTAACTTCCATAGGGTTTCAGTACTTTCCAAATGAACTGTGAGGTCAGAGGCACCTGTTTTTGTTTTTGTTTTTGTTTTGTTTGTTTGTTTTTTGTGGAGCTGGCCATTCAGAAATTAGTGCACCTGGATGAATTATAGCCTTCCTTTTAGTTGCCTCTCCTATCATGCAATTTTTTTTAGGGAGGGCAGCATCCCTTAGCATGGTGCCAAACTAGGCATTTGGTTTTGTGCAGCTTCTAATCAGAACAGCAGATTAATGCATCCTTGTTGTGTTACAAGTGAAGTCACTATTGTTCTTCAAGACTTGCTTTCGTTTCTTGCCAGGACAGCATTCTCTTTTTGATTGGATATATTATATTTATAGAGTTTGTTGCTGTTCTGCTGGAATATAGTTAAAACAGGTGTTTCACTGAGCCAGGAATGTCAGAGGTTAATCCCAGTAGTTTTACCTCCAGTTGTCTGACAAAACGATTGTTCGTCAAGTACCGCCAAGTCCAGGCTAATCTATGCTAAAGAAAGGATTACCATTCGAAATGTGCCATGATTTTCTGGTAAGGTCTGTGCCAGTTGTTCTCAGTGGAGAGTGAGCATCGGAACCTCCTGGCCCACCAGCCAAATTTCTGATTCTGTAGGCCTGGGCTCAAGAAATGGCTTCTACTTGATTCTTAGTGCATCCTTGGTTAAGAATACTGATCTCTGCTAGTGACTGGTTTTGGCCCCTCAACAAGGTAGTATTTCTTATATATATAGTAGTAGTATATATATAAAGTAGTATTTCTTATATATTATTTATATATATATGTAAGTTTTTATGTGTATATGAACTGTGAGGTATTTATATATATAAATACTTCAAGATAATCTACCTGAATTAGGGAAATGTCATCACAAAATAGAAGTAACACACTCATATTGGGCATATACTGTATCTAAGTATGCGTCCCATAAAGTGCATTGGTAGGACAGTAGTAGGGTTGCCAGATGACACACAAGATACCTGGTTAAATTTGAGGTTTTTAGTATACCTATGCCCCAAATATTGCATGAGGCATACTAAAAATTATTCATTGTTTATCTGGAATCCAGATTTAACCAGGCATCTAAAATTTCAATTTGCTAATTCTGGCAAGCCCAGAGGGTTTGGGACCTTGGGGAGGGAATTGTCCCTGAACAGAGCTGAGTAGAATTTAAGAGTGGAGGTAAATTACTGGTCTGTGAAGATGGGTGCTTGGTGCATGGTGCCTGCTCAATAAATTTGTTGAAGAAAGGAAGGAAGGGAAGAAGGGAAGGAAGAAGGGAAGGAAAAGTGATAGACAGTGTCTATAATACAATGCAGCCATCATAAGTGATACGAGGTACTTTGAGGGATCAGAGGCGAAAACGCCAGTATCCATTAGAGAAGAAGGTGTTTGAGTGATACCTCAAAGGTTTCTCCAGATACAGATGGAAGAGGAAGGCGCATTAGTCAGAAAGAACAGCATGAGGTAAAGAGTTGTGAGGCGAGCAGTTGGGAGGTATTTGGGAGCAGATCATAGAGTGGGTAAGGAAAACCAGCCAAGAAGGTAGAAATGCGAGAGGCCGCAACACCCACCGTGCTGTCATTTGGGACTCATTCAATAGCTAGAGAGAGAGGCATAGTATTATTGTTTCTTATTTTCATCAGAGATATGGAATTCAGCATTTTTTTATTCTTTTGCTGCAAGACAGGTATCAGGCTAGCTGTATTAAAAAAGTTATTCTTATGAAACCCAAACTCCAAAGATGATGTTTTATAAAAATTAAAATGGAGTAGTAACTTTAGTGAGGGAATAATAGTGAACACAAGAGGAAAAGATAGCCTGTCCTGTCTGATCACAGTGAATGGTCTTAGTATTTTTAGGATACAGAGTTTAGTAGACATTCCACTTGTATATTCATTCACCGGAGACATACCTGGCTCTAGACATGGTCGTACCTCTGGTCTGCAGAGTTACTAAAATGAACTAAATGCACTTAACATTAAGATAATGTAAGAGGTCACAGTCTTAATTCTTGAAGGTGAATTCCTAAAAACCGAATTTAGTGGTATGAGCAAAGATCTAAAGCAACTCCCAATGGAATGAAATGAAAACACGTTAAACATAAATGGATATATCATCATTTTGATCTGAACCACAGGGAAATGATACAAAGTTAAAGCTTGCAGAGTGTAATTAGACAGCAAGACCTTTAAAAAGTAAGAGAGATGTAAAATATGAAGATAAGGAAGAGCTTAAAAGCAGACACCTGATGCCTGGACATCTGCCCAAATTGTCTTTATGGGCCAGTTAAGAAGATAAACATCTGAGCATTTAAAGGGCAGTGCTTTTTGTTGTTGTTTTTTCATTTTGTAATGTTACTTTTATTTATATACCTTGATGATCTTGGGTGCTCTTTAATGAGTGCCAAAGACATGGCATCCTACATATTTCTGTGATATTCCAGAACAAACTCCCGCTGGTGGCGTTTCTGCCATTTTTCATGGAAGACTATAAACATTCAAATACCAATAAATAGAAATTTCAATCCCCTCAAAGGACACAGTTGAGCGATCCCCCAAATATATTTTTTGAAAGCTTTCATGTGTATATTTCACACGGCCCACGTTAGTTTTCTGATTAACATGGATTTGTGACTTTGGATTTCTTATTAAAATTCTCTTGTTTAGTGTTAGACCTGCCTTCTCTTTCCATCCCATGAATGGTCAGGACTCTCTTCTGTCACCACAAAGAACTTCCCTGGGCTCCTGAGAGCCGTCTAGTGAGAGAAGTGTGGGCCCAAAGATAAGGAAGAGTGTAGAGGTCTCAGATATGCAGGCTCCTAAGGGAGGGGTGGGGGGACAGGTGATACAGTGGTGTTGGCCCTGGAGGGGGCATTGCTGCCGCTGGCAAGTGAGCCCTTCCCAGAAATTTACCCTTAGGGAAGAGAGGGGCTGTTCTATTGGCAGAGCAGCTCCATCATCTCTCTCTGATTCACGGTTGCTGGCAGCTCTCCGCTTCTTTCTGTCCTGTTTTGCCTAAGGCCTCCCCTTCCCCCCTCCACTTAAGTAATTTGCAGCTATAGTGCAGTGAAATACAGTTCAGTGCAAACTGTGGAAAGTAATGGTATTAACTTAAAGCTTGAAAATCCAGATTTAAGATCTGTTTCTGCCATCTGTGAGGGCGTGGCCTTGGGCACATCACTTAACCATGTTGAACTTTGGTTTTCTCAGCCGTAAACTGAATATTTATATTTCATGCATGATCTGCTTCATGGGATTATTGAAGATTAAATGAGAAAAATATATGAAAACATATCCTAGGGCTATGATGATGATTGTGATGACTATTATTTAAAAGTTCAGTGGGTGGGCCAGGTCTTCCCACCTAGAAAAATATAGGATTCCTATTTGAAGTCTTACTGAACAGAAATCAGCCCTGACTTACTTATTTGAATTTTTATAATGAAGTACAAATGTAATATAGATGGAATTCCTAAAGAAGCTCCTGGCTGTTGAATAAATCTTATATATTTTAAAAACCATCACAATATAAGTATTTTTAAAAAGATATATAATGGTTCGTGAAAACACCTGAAATGCCCATGCTTTTATGGGTGTTTAAGTATGCAATTTGCTCTAAATGTCTAATCTTGAATGATTAAATAATTTGCATACTGTTTTCAGTGGCATGAATTAAGGGCTAATTGAAGTATAATTTTTTGCAGTAAAATTATATCATCTTTTATGTAGTACATTAAAAAATATTCTAGGCTAGTTCTAATTTTGTAGTTTTATTATTTTAATTTAATGTACCAAATAATTAAAAACTGCTACAAAGAAAAGAAGATGAAAATGATTTTAGTTAATTTCCCCTCAACAGAGTGAAAAGATGATTAGTAGGATAATGGAACAGAGCTCAACACAGTTCCTGGCACATAAAGATATTCATTAAATGTTCCTTAATGAATAAAGAATGAATAATTTCTAAGTATTTCTACTTTGGGAAAAAGCACCATTCTCAGTGCTATACAAAATATGAAGATTACTTGACATCTTCATACTGAAATGCCTCCTTACAGAGGTCAAACAAGCTAATTTTTCTTGACTCATTAGACCCTCAGTTTGCTCTGCTTACCTTTCCTCCTTGTCTCTTTGCTCCTGCAGTAGTCTCAGGCTTTAGTCAGTTTACAGATGCTGAGAGATGATTGTCTATGGGTATATTGCATTTTTGTGGATCCTGCAAGCACTGACTGCTCTTTGTTCCGGACTGTCTTCTCAAGGGTGTTTATATAGTACACAGCTTTGGAAGACAAAGACAGTCTCTCCTTCTGGAGCAAAGTGCAGGTTTGCTCACAGCTTCGGACGGTGGAGCGGGTGTCTCCCTCCAGAACAAAGAGCAGATGTTTACTGTCCAGTCTAATAAAGGTAATCTCTCCCTCTGAGACAAAAGGCAGGAATGCTTACTTCCCATTATGAAAGATGTAGGTTCTTGAAGCTCAGGGTTCCTGTCCTATAATGTAACCCACTGCGTGTGCAGAAGTTACTTGGCCCTTGTGTCACCCTGTGGGAATTGGGGCTCAGGAAACTGGTACAAAAATGCTGATGTTCTGTCTACTGTTTACTGTGAGTGATAAACTGCCCTTTGCCTCTAACCAAAGCATCTCATGTGTTCTGCCAGCATCCGTGAAACTGGCAGGTGAACTTGTTAGCTTACATGTAGGATAAAATCTCAAACCCTGAACAATTCTTGATAACAGGGTTCAGCAGTGTTTGGGTAAGTTGGCTGGTATGATGTGGTGTAGTTGGTTGGTACACTCATCTAGTTAGGGATGGCTAATTACCATCTGTGGATACTTGGGGACCCTGGGTCCATGTTCTCAAGAGAAGTGAGTGGGCACTATAGGGCTAGAAGTAGAAAATGGGATGAGATCCAGAACCTTTAGCCCAGAGCACGGGCTAAAACTGATGCCTCTGATTATCCTCACTTTGTGGGGGTGGTTGGGTGGAGGCAGACACAAGCTATAGAGGAAGGAGGGAGAAGAGTTTTGCAGAGGAAAGAAGACTCCAAGAAGCTTCAAAGCAGCATTAAATCATTCGTGCTTATAGATGCTGTAAATCATGGTGTTGGCATCTACCATAGTGAAGTTTATTAGCTGATTTTTTTCAACCGAGTGAGTGCACTTCTGTGAGCACTCTGCTTTGGGGCCTTAGTTCCTTGTTTAGTGTGCTCACTTTGAGTGCTAATGGGTGAAAGCGAGCGGGCTGGTTTTGGGAAAAGACATGATGGCAGTGTCTGGTACATTAGGTTACTCTTGTTTATCCCCCTTCCACCTTCCCTCCTGCCCTAGCCTTTATGGTTTATGAAAGTTCTTCCCTAGCACCACTTGGGCAACTCTTTAACAACATGCAGGGCTGATCAAATAACTCTGGGCCTCAGTCGTCTCAGCCCTCTCTGGCACCCTCAGAGTTTGAACATGCTGATGCCACTGCCTCCAAGAACCAGCCCTTTGCCCACTTCACTGAGGTGGGAAAGGCTTCAGGGTTATTAGAAAGATGTTCTGGGATCTCTTTCTGGTTATCCACACGATGAAACAATTGTGTTTTATTTCACACCCTAGGAACTTCTATCCGGCGTCACCGGATTTCTCTCCCACCTCCGGATAAGGATCAGTTTTATACTGTGTATCATTTCAATGTCGGCATAGACGTTGTCTTTTATGGCCGGACATTCAAGATTTATGACTGTGATACATTCACAAAAAACTTTCTGAAGAAAATAGGAGTCAAAGTAAACCCGCCGCGACAATGTCCAGAAGATCCTTACCTGAAGTTACGGAGAGAGGTAGGTTGACCTGTCCATGAGTTATTGTCTTCAGGATGAGAATCCCTGCGGAGTGTCACTGAAGGATATTGGTAGTCCTGACGCAGAAGTGAAAGGACTTGGGGGGCCATGGTCCCTGGGATTGTCCTGTTTTCCTTGGGGCTAGAGGGAAGGCTGGGTGGTGGCTTCGGTGCAGGACTCACTGTCTGCCCTCATCCCCACTTGTCTCCGTGGAGAGCCTCCCTTCCAGGCAGTAGGAGTCTTCAGTGAGCCGCCCACATGGGATAATTTCTAAGAGCCCATGATTGGTTTTGTGGTCACTGACAGTGTAAGAGTGGAGCCCACTTACCTGGCTTTTCTTTTCCTATTTTAGTTGCCTGATTCTGGGAAAATCTTTGCTTCTGTGCTCCTGATTTGCTGAACCACGCTTTGGGTGCACCTTTTTTTTTTCTTTCTGGGGACTCCCAACTCCCTTTATGGTGATATCAGATGCAGAGATGTTCCAGAGCGAGAAGGGCCATGATTCCGGTGTACCTCCATGATGACAAGATGCTGTCTTCAAAGTCTGATCCCAATTAATAGCAGTAGTGTAGTCTTTCCAAATGCCCAAATTTTATGTTTTACAAGGAGACTCTGACGGGCATTGCCCCAGAAGGGCAAGTGTCATGTGGAAGGTCACATACACACCCGTCTTCTTGCTGGGAGTTGCTCTAATCTCTTGCTTCTTGCCATGATTTTTCATCATTATCATTTGTTTCTCTTTTCTCTTTTTATTGAAGTATGATTATATACAGTAAAATACACAGAAATTAAGTATACAGCTTGATGGGTCTGAACAAATGCATGCACCCATGTAATCCACAACCAGAACCATAATATTGAATATTTCCATTCCCCCATAGAGTTCCCGCCTGCCTTTTTCCAATCTATCCTTCTCCCCATCCAGGGATAAACACTGTTCTCATTTGTATCCCTATAGATTAATTTAGTCTCATTTTGATTGTTTCTAAATCTTGTAATTAATTTCTTTGCAGAAAGATAATATAAAATTTAGAATAAAATTCTCCTTTGATTCTGCTTTGATCTCTTGTTAAAAGCTGCATGTAGGATCATTCATCTCTTCGTGCCTCCTAGCCCCAGCAGAATTGTCCTTCAATGTTGTAGGCATGCAGCCCTCCTGAGAAATACATATATATTGTTGATCCTGGACTATCCAAGGTGAAATCCCTGTGTCATTAAACTTGTGTGTATTGGTGTGCAAGGAGATTTATGGCCTGGCTTCATTTTAATTTTTTTTTCTAAATGCCCTAGATGAAAGGGACTCCATAAATACAAAGTCTTTAGAACCAGCAGAGAGAACCTAAAAGAAGTGAATCTGTATAAATTACGACTCTTTGCATCTAGCTACGCTCTTCATTGACACTTGGTATTATATGACAGTGATAGTGAATGATGATGCACTATATGAAATACATAGAACGCTCTGTGATTTCATAGGTTCATAAAGAAAAAAAAATCTTTTGTTCCGGGAATCAAGAATAATTCCCAAGAACAGTCAAGAAATGTTTTAAATAGTTTCCTTTCAGATTAGGAGAATCATTTTAGCATTTATTCCCTCAGAGAGAAAGCTCTTCAATAAATATAGAAATCTGTGGAAAATTAGGAGTTTAATAAGAGGCTTTTATATTGACTTTTGTGCATTTACTTCTCCAGTGTTTGCTGCCTTGAAATGTAAAGTTAAAATTAAACAATTTAACTTGAACTGAAAAAAAGCCCCAATGGTATATGGTCAATATTGCATTTCTTAGAGGCCTTATCATTGCCAAAGAAACCTTTTTCAATGGCTGAAAATAGAGATCCCATAATTTCATGTAGATATCAAGGATGGGACTGAAGAGTTTCTGGAAGGCCATGATGTCTCCCCCACTGTCTGGGGATAAGTCTGCACCTAGACTGCCCTGGACAGAGACACAATTTTGAGAATTTACAAGTAAGATTACAAAACCCGACATGGGGCTACATCTTCCGTGGTAGTGAGCACTTCCTTTTATAACGACTGCGTGAGGCCACATGAGATAGAGGAGGGGCAGTTTTGCTCCAAAGCAGGTCTGAGAATATGAGGATAGGGAAGAGTTGTGCCAAGAAGACTGCAGAGGCAGTGGTTCCTGGGTTGGGGTATGGAGCCCTGGCAGTGGTTCTGTGCTGATTGGGAAGCTCTCCATGGCATTTGAGTTCCTCAATATCTGTAAAGCTTTTGAGCAAAATAAAACCTTGAATATATTTCTTCCCTTTTCCCTTTAAAAAATCTTTGGGTGAGTTAAGAAGGATAGGTAGATAGGAATTATCAGTGAAAAGAATTTTTTGGTTGAAATATAATTAACGTAGAGTCAGATGTATACATCTTAAAAGCCTACACATAGACCAGATTTGAAAAATGCATGCAATTTAGTAAACAACATGAAAATCAAGATAGAGAATATTTCCATCACCCCAGAGAGCCCTCTTGTCCCCCTTTCCGATCAATCCTCTACCCAGAGGCAGTAACTATTCTCATTTCTGTCACCATATATTAGTTTCATCTGTTCTTCAACAAGAATTTTAAGTCTTTGAGAAAAGTCAGTTTCCAAAAAATTATAGAGGTATTTTTTAGCATATTAAAATAATGTTTAATGCAAAGCTTCCTGATACTTGATTGTCTGTATTTCTAAGGTTGAAACTGATTACATATGCGTATCATGTATGTTGTTAGTTGAAATTTTAAAAAGACCACAGAGTAGTCTATGGAAGAGATACCTAAGATATCTTTATGTTCCTTTACTGCTTGCATCCCAGAAATGACTATGGAAAATCTCAACTATCACTGACCTTTTCTCCATCTGCAGACGCTGGATTGCGTGGAGCCCTTACGTCCCTACGAGTCCTTCGACACTCGGAAACAGTTCCTCAACTATGATAGGAAGGTTCTGCGTTTCTTCTGCCTGTGGGATGACTCAGGCTCAATGTTCGGGGACCGTAGAGAACTCACCCTGCTTTACTTTCTGTCTGATGATACTATCGAAATCAGAGAAACGTTGCCACATAACTCAGGAAGAGATCCTGTGACAGTGTTCCTCCAGAGGAGAAAGCTACCTAAGGTGAGCGATGGGCAGAGGACCGCTTTCCGAGTTTGCTTTCCGAGTGGGCTAAAGACTCAGGTCACTCACTGTCTGGAATGTCATGTGTTATGACTGCGTGATGACAGGTTACCATGTAGTAGTGCAAGTGTTTAGAAAGCTTCCATTTTGTGCCCTCTATTAATATACATCTATGAAAGTAATACAGAGGATATGACAAATTGGAATTGGAGTATTCAGAGCTTAAGGCAAGTAAAGGAAAAAAGCCAAATGCAAGAGAACTACCTTTTCATCATTTAGTTCACAGTGAGCCTTATGAAGGTAAATGACTCTCTGGTTAAGAACTGCTCGTGGCCTTGGGCAGGGCACTGGCCTCTGTAGCCTACTGAGGAGACCCCAGCCTATTGGTCTGGGTTGTGAATACACACATAATGCATGCACAAAGACATGCACGGGCATGTGCACACACAAGTATACACGCAGGAGGGAGTCTTCTGAGGGTAGCCACTAGTCACCAACTAGCCACTGGCTAGCAACAGTGATAGCTTTTGCATTTTACTATTTAAAAAGAGGTGTCAGACTGATTCTACACATATTTATGGCTATTAGAGAGCTAATGTAACTTGTGTATGGCAGAAACAGCACAGAGACAGAAGGCCTGGGTTAGAATTGTGGGTCTGCCACTGAATAGCTGTGTGACCTTGGGCAAGCCATTAACCTCTCTGAGCATATTTCCCTATCTCCAAAATGCAATTAACTAGGCTTCCCTCCTGAGGTGACTATAAAGATTGAGTGAAATAATATAGTAAAAAGCACTATCAAAAGACCTGTAGACACCTCTGAGGACGTGTGAAAACATCAAGGCCTATTTCCGGCTCTATGCAGTATTTTGTTTCTTATTTGGATCAAGTATTTTTCAACTTAATTCTTAGTGCTACTGGTAAGATTACTGTAATGCTCATTTCTGAGGCAAACCACCCCTGGTTATTTGGTTATCGCAGGAGACTCTCCCAGATTCTCTGAGGCTACTGCCAGAAGTCCTGCTATGTCGCTTGCTTGCAGGGGGTGGGGCAGGATTTGTCCCAGAGTGAACCCTGGGGTATTCACAGCGAGTGGCCAGGAGGTGCCAGGGGAGCCTGTTTTTAGAATGGCTTTGAAAACTGAGTAGAAAATAATAATGGCACACCTGACATTTGCGGCATTCCCTGACATCAGTTGCTTCATTTATTCATGCATTCAACAAATGTCTGTTGAGTGTGAACTGTGTGCCTGCTCTGGGGTTACAGTAAGAAGGAGAATAGAGTGAGTCCTGCTTCATGGAGCTCCCATTCTCATGGGGGAGAGATACAGTAGCAGTGGGTGTTCCCTTGACACAGCATCCTTTGAGAAAGCCAAAGAGTACTGTTGTTGAGGTTAGATGAAATAACTGAGAAGATAAATTCCTAGCCCCAAGTCCTGCAGCTAGGAAGTGGCGAAGGGAGAGTTTGCGCCCAAATGTACTATTTTTCTATGTGACACGGCTTACTTGTACTCCATACATCATAAGTTCACACATTTAGACTTAGATTTTACATCACACATATCAGGGACGATTTTGATTTCTCATCTGTATGGAATAAACCAGTCACTATCGGTTTATATAAGTTAGTTAAGATATTTCCTGCCTGGACCACCTCAGTGCATGTGGAACTGAGGAGTGGCCTGGCCTGCTCCAGGCCACAGTTTGTGTTAGAGGCCGACTGCACCCCATGGTCCCGGCTACCTCACCACACCGCCTCTCTCTGCCAGCAAGTGCTTCCTTGCTCAGGAGCAGGCAGGGTGCTAAGTGAGTAAAGGGAAAAAGGCAGGGTAGGGTGTCTTCCTCAGGATGTTTTGTAGTTTTGTAGCTTAGTGAAGAGAAAAGGTGACTTGCTGATGAGGCAATTGGAGAACCACCGTAAGTGGTTGAACCCAGCAGTAGGTGCTATGGAAGTTTGGACTGGGGATAGGCCAGTAGGATGGGAGAGGTCAGGGGAAAAGATGGGGCTTTATCAGGGCCTTGAAAGATGGGTGGAATGTAGACCAGCCCACAAGGGGTGAGGAAGCATGGGGAAAGGTGGCTGGAGTATGCAGCCTGTCCTTGAGATGGCAGAGAAGAACTATATGGTGCCTCTTACCACGTGTGCTCCTCAGCAGGACCATGTTTGTGGTTTTTTTGTTTTTTTGTTTTGTTTTTCACTTTTTTTTATTGAGTTATAGTCAGTTTACAATGTTGTGTCAGTTTCCAGTGTAGAGCACAATTTTTCAGTTATACATGAATACACATGTATTCGTTGTCACATTCTTTTTCACTGTGAGCTACCAAAAGATCTTGTATATATTTCCCTGTGCTATACAGTATAATCTTGTTTATCTATTCTACATATACCTGTCAGTATCTACAAATTTTGAACTCCCAGTCTGTCCCTTCCCACCCCCCTCCCCACTGGCAACCACAAGTTTCTGTTCTATCTCTGTGAGTCTGTTTCTGTTTTGTATTTATGTTCTTTTTTTTTTTTTTAGATTCCACATAGAGCAATCTCATATGGTATTTTTCTTTCTTTTTCTGGCTTCACTTAGAATGACATTCTCCAGGGACATCCATGTTGCTACAAATGTCATTATGTTGCCATTTTTATGGCTGAATACTATTCCATTGTATAAATATACCACCTCTTCTTTATCCAGTCATCTATTGATGGACATTTAGGCTGTTTCCATGTCTTGGCTCTCATAAATAGTGCTGCTATGAACATTGGGGTGCAGGTGTCTTTTTGAAGTAGGGTTCCTTCTGGATATATGCCCAGGAATGGGATTCCTGGGTCATATGGTAAGTCTATTCCTAGTCTTTTGAGGAATCTCCATACTGTTTTCCACAGTGGCTGCACCAAACTGCAGTGTAGGAGGGTTCCTTTTTCTTCGCAGCCTCTCTAGCATTTGTCATTTGTGGACTTTTGAATGATGGCCATTCCGACTGGTGTGAGGTGATACCTCATTGTAGTTTTGATTTGCATTCTCTGATGATTAGTGATATTGAGCATTTTTTCACATGCCTGTTGATCACTTGTATGTCTTCCTTGGAGAATTGCTTGTTTAGGTCTTCTGCCCATTTTGTTATTGGGTTGTTTGTTTTTTTTTCTTATTAAGTCATATGAGCTGCTTATATATTCTGGAGATCAAGCCTTTGTCAGTTTCATCCTTGGCAAAAATTTTCTCCCACTCCGTAGGTTGTCATTTTGTTTTGCTTATGGTTTCCTTTGCTGTGCAGAAGTTTGTAAGTTTCATTAGGTCCCATTTGTTTATTTTTGCTTTTACATCTATTGCTTGGGTAGACTGCCCTAGGAGAACATTTTTGAGATGTATGTGAGATAATGTTTTGCCTATGTTTTCTTCTAGGAGGTTTATTGTATTTTGTTTTATGTTTAAGTCTTTGATCCATTTTGAGTTTATTTTTGTGTATGGTGTAAGGGAGTATTCTAGCTTCATTTGATTTACATGCTGCTGTCCAGTTTTCCCAACACCATTTCCTGAAGAGATTATCTTTATTCCAGTGTATATTCTTGCCTCCTTTGTCGAAGATTAGTTGACCAAAAGTTTGTGGGTTCATTTCTGGGCTCTCTGTTCTGTTCCATTGGTCTGTATGTCTGTTTTGGTACCAATACCATGCTGTCTTGATGACTGTAGCTCTATAGTATTGTCTGAAGTCTGGGAGAGTTATTCCTCCAGCCTCTTTCGTTTTCTTCAGTAATGCTTTGGCAATTCTAGGTCTTTGATGGTTCCATATAAATTTTATTATGATTTGTTCTAGTTCTGTGAAATACGTCCTGGGTAATTTCATAGGGATTGCATTAAATCTGTAGATTGCCTTGGGCAGCGTGACCATTTTAACAATATTGATTCTTCCAATCCAGGAACATGGGATATCTTTCCATTTTTTAAAGTCTTCTTTAATTTCCTTAATCAGTGGTTTATAGTTTCCTGTATATGAGTCTTTCACCTCCCTGGTTAGATTTATTCCTAGGTATTTTATTACTTTGGGTGCTATTTTAAAGGGGATTGTTTCTTTACTTTCTTTTCCTGTTGATTCATCGTTAGTGTAAAGAAATGTAACTGATTTTTGTACATTATTCTTGTAACCTGCTACCTTACTGAATTCTTTGATTAGTTCTAGTAGTTTTTGGGTGGACCTTTTAGAGTTTTCTATGTATAGTATCATGTCATCTGCATATATTGACAATTTTACCTCTTCTTTTCCAATTTGGATCCCCTTTTTTTCTCTCTGTTGCCTCATTGCTGTGTCTAGGACAATGCTTGTGTTTAACGGTCATCCCCCACATCTTGACTTGGTTTTTATCTTCCAGTATGGCCCCCCTGGAGTCTATCAACCAGGCCAGTTAGCAGATCAAACAGTTCTCAATATGTATGGTGGCTATTCAGTGAACCGAGTGTACAGATACCTGCTGGATAAATACAAGGTAAGGACCCTCACATTTTATTACTGTTGCCAATGTGACTTCCCTGGAACCTAGAAAGGAGGGTGAGTTACATATCCTTCTCCTGGGAGATTGATTGTGAATGAAATCAATGAATGTGTAAATGTGTGTGTGATACTGCTGTTTATCAGTAATAAACATGCTCAAGTGCACATATAAATATACACATTGAATTGCCATTTGGTAGCACTATGTAGCTTAAAGAATGTTTTAAAATGTTAATATTGAGTGGTTGTCTTTTGATTTAAGAAATTTGCTTATAAATGATATAATTTTTTGTTAATTATCTTTTTTCCTTTGGGAGGGAGTGCCAAGGTCTCTGGAGGGTCTCTGGTGCCAATGTCATGTTCTTTTGTTTTCTTAGCCAGAAAAATTAGAGCAAGAGTTTTACAAAGATAGTGACCTGTCCATAGGAACCACCATCAACGTGTGGGGAAGGAAAGTGCTCCTCTGTGACTGTGACAAATTCACGAAGACTTATTATAAGACTAAATATGGAATTGGTAAGTGATACATCTGTCAATTAGAAAGTAACATTTAAAACTTAGATCTTTGTTCCCTAGTTAGGATTGATTGTGCTTTTTTGAGTTTCAGATGCTAAGCTCATAAGAGTTACCATTTATTGAGTTATTTGCTAACTACCGGGCATTTATTGTCTTATTTATTCCTGACAAACAACTCTAGAAGGGTAGGCTCATTATCCCCACTTTAGAGGTGAGGAAACCATGGCTTCAAAGGGGCTTACTTGTCAAAGGTCACTCAGCAAGTAAAGGGTGAGTCAAGACTTGAACTTGTCCGCCTGATGCCAAAGGCTTCCATTTTCCTTGGTAGCTCTCTGCCTCACTAGAGTATGGGTACATGCTTTGGTCAAGCCATTGAAATGGAAATCTAAATGCTTTTCTTTTCACTGAATTCTTGCTTACCACGGTGGATATACTTATTTGAGTTCTCTTGGGGGATTCTCTGGTGCCAGTTTGCTCAACCTTTCCTGGTGAGGCTCAGCCAGGTTTCCAGCTTCTCTCTGCTTAGCTGTCAATTCCATTCAGATCAGGTTAGTCCAGTTCAGAATGAAAACCGGTGATCTATTCAGCAGCTACTGGACACAGGTCATTGCAGTAGACTTAGGAGTTATGGAGCTGTGTGAGGACTTTCTAGGCTGGAAGGGGAGCAGAGACCTACAGTTATGTTACACGGTGTTATGAGTCGTTGAAGCAGCTGGAGGATCTGATGTGAAACCTGAAAAACAAACCCCTCCGTTTGTGAAACCTGCCAGCCAGCTCTGCCCTCCTCCTCGGCTCTCTGCCCCAGACTCCAGGTGCCTGCCAGTACTTGGCTAAGAGGGGATGGTGCAAGTCGCTGACCTCCCAGATTGGGATTTAGAGCTCGGGTGTGGGAGACTGACTCCCATAGTCCTCTCTGAACCTTGGAATATTCATATGAACACACTTCCCTAAGTGATCACAGCCTCCTAGAAGACAAGGTGCTTTGTCTCTGGGATGAGACGAGGCTCACCTTACGTGTCTCGGTGTCCCTACTGCATAGTATTCCTGGCCTCCTGGGAATCTATATTGTGGGAGAAGGCACACAGAGCACACAAAGGGGTTGAAATAAAAAAGACTTTGTGTCACTCTTCGGTTCATTAAGAGAATTAGTTCCACCACCTCTGCATGCCAGCTTAGTCCAAATGTGTGGGCCCACGGGGCCAAATTGGTAGCCTCTTCTTGTATTATTTCCTAAAATTAGTCCTCTTTAGTGGACACCGTTGGGCATATTTGTTTTTGGGGCTGAGGGCAAAGGCAGCCAGGACTGTGCAGGTGGTGGCTGCTGTAGAGAAGCTGCCAGTGACCGTTAGATGGTTTGGAAGGATAATTTGGTCTTTAATAAATGTAAATGCCTGTTTAGAATCAACAAGTCTTCAGTGTAGACTTGAAAATTTGAAAAAAATTATATATATATATAATGAGCAGAGAATATATGTATATATTATATAATATATAGTTGTATATGTATAGTAAGTCACTGAAACATTTACCTGTGTCCTACTGAAAGGTGACCCTAATACAAAGGATGTGATAAAGGTTCCAAAATATCATATGATCCTTTAAATATTAAGTCCAACATTTGGTTGATATTTGTCTGTCAGCTTGATTTTGAGAATATAAAGTTTGCACGTGGGAAAATAAACATAGTGCGGGAGAGACATGGTACATTGCTAGTCACTCCCTGGGTTTGTAGGGGGCTTTCAGAGGCAGAGTAAATTCACTGGTGCGCTCTAGATCTAGTGGTCCTCGGCAAATGTGTCAGCTTCAGGTGCCTTGTGGTCCACTTCAGTTGAGCTCTAGTGCTTAATTTCTTCCTGCTCACTTCTTTTGTTCACCCTATAGACTTACTGTATTATATAGAAAAAAAAGTCATGTGTGCCTGTAAAGCTGATATAACATGAGCATTATGCATTTAAACAGAAAATTATGCAAATGCAAAATTATGATGCATTTTATGGTCATGCTGACTTTTTATATTTCTCATAACATATATTAAAATATCCCATTTAACAGACACTATAATTACACAACATTTCTTGAGTAACAACAGTTTACTTAATGTAGCTAACGACTGGAAATTATATCCATGATTCAGGGAGGATGGGAGTGAATCTTCACATTTACTTTTTCTGACTTTTTGGTAATGTTAAATTATTACACTTCGTGTTACTTAGGTAGTTCTGACATTTTAATTTTGTTTGTAATTCATCTGGTTCTAAAAATTCGTAAGACTGACTACATTTTATACATTATATTTCGGTATCCTTGAAGCCCAAACCAGGACAAAGTCCTGGCAATCATTGTAGTCACGTTTCGTTCCTTGTCAGTGACTGTGGTCGGCAGAATACCTGGCGTCTCCACTCTGCAGCACCACAGGAAGGAGCCGACAGCTGCCAACCACACGGCAAAAGCCCTCCCCGAGAGGAAGCCAGGGGGCGATTTCGAATGCAGTGTGCAGCCTTGGTGCTTTAGTACCTTCCCTTACCTAATGCCCCAACATGTTTTGGGGGAGAAAAAAGTGGCAGACGGGCTAAGAGAAGGAGTTGGCTCTGGTCCCAAGAAAGGTGCATGAGTAAGCTTTCTATTTATGGAGAAGCAGAGAGCTTGATAGAATTCCAAGAGATCTATGTAGCCCCGTGTAAAACCCAGTCTGACTCCTAAAAAGATGAGATTCTTTTGTGCATCTCAGGATTCTAAAGAGGAGGTCAGTTCTTCCACAAAACAATCCAGTGTGACTCCCCCCGTAGGCAGCCTGGCTATCCCGCTAGCCCCAGCTGGCCTGCTGGGCTCGAGCGTGTCACTCCCTCATTATTTCACGTGCATGAGTGCGGACTGGCAGATGGAGGCCTGTTGGACTTTCCTGTAGCATGAAGGTTGGAAAAGGCTCCAGGGGCTCTAGCAGGTGTTTCTTTCACTGAAGGGACAGGGATTTGAATGTAAACCATTCTTACCTAGAATTCCTGTCTTAGGTTATTCTTTGTCTGTAAGAGGACTTAGCATCGATTCTTAGTGGCTGAGACACCCAAACTAGTAACAAGACCATTCATTCCCATTGTCTTTGAATACTTATTAGGCTGTACTGACATTAAGGATGAGCAAGAAACTTAAAGCACCTCTAATTTTGTAGAGTCATTTCTGGCCCTCTCTGAACTAGAAGCAGCAGGGCATCCAAGATGAGAGTTTAATGATCATTTGAGCAAATCAGCCATCCAACGGTGCAGGGACAGGGGTAGAATTTGCTTCTGGTCTCACCACATGGCCTTGATGGACCTAACAATTTGGCCTTTTCTTTTTTTTTTTTTTTTAACCTCTCCTATGAAGTAAAGAGGGTTGAGGATTAGATTTCTAATGGGATTTCTAAGGGGATGGATGATTTCTAAGGGGTTTCTAGCTATAGCTAGAAAATGATGTGATTCACTAATTATTTGACCCCAAAATGAACATCCCACCAAACTCATTTGACCTGGGTATTGGGTACAAGCAGAGGTGGATTTACCTTAAAGTTAATTAAGCTTAAGCTCTAGGGTTCTTTCTTTGCAGGGGCCCCAATTCCAAGGCCCTGGGCCTCATTTTGTCTTAATTATTTGGCATTCTTGGTCTTGAAGAGCTTCTCCCAAATTATATAAGCTTCAGGCCTCCTGAAACCTGGGTTCATATCTGCGTTGCTAGAACATCAGAGATGAACATTGAGATAATTAAAGGCTTTTCCCAGCATCGTTTCCAACTGAGATGGTGAATAGTAAATCACTGGGAAGGAGTATTAAGACTTAACCTTTTAAAGATCTATCACCTCTCTGTAAATTTGTTGGAATCTAGTCAATTGTGGATGGACATTCAATATATATGTTTTTACAAATCTCCTGGAATTAGAGGAATCAAACTGTTTGAAAGACAGTTGTGTCTCAGGATCCAGCAGAGTGTCAGTGTAAGAAGATATTTGAGAAGATGCTTTGTGAAAAAAAATGTATACTTTTTCATCAGATGTTTTTGTTAATACCTGAAACCTGCAGGATGCTGGGCTGATGGAAAACCAGAGACAGGAAACTTACTCAGGTGCGAATCCAGACCACTGTGAATATATGCAATTACCCAGAGAAATGAGATCTTGAGTCAGGATATCCAAAAAAGATTGTGGTGTTACAAAAATCAGGCATGGTAGAGTGGAACAGTTCTCGGCATTTACACACTAGATGGCACTGTGGGTGCAGAGGAAAGCTCTAAATTGATTCTTTTGTTACTTAAATCTGTTGCAAAAATTATGTAGTTGAGAAAACAACACTGTGTTATAAAACCTGTAATTTGGGGTGGGGGGAGGTATAGAATGCAGTCTTAATTACTTTGAGATTCAATATGTGTCCTCTTTTGGTTAGACTACTTAGATTAGTATATAAAGTTGTATGGATATGTCCCCTGTTAGGAGAAATTGATCATGCCCCGATTTTCTAATAATCACGTTGCGCTCTCCCTGCCGTCCCTATGGTCCTTTCTCTGAAATGAAGGTACCAGTTAGTGGTGTGTTTCATGTAACAGTTCACAATGATAGGGTCTGCTGCAGTTCTGCCTAATTCCAAGATGTGAACTTTCCTCTTTATTACCAAAGCTTCTCTTTAATTGCCCCAAAAATAGCAGTAAGAGAGGCTCCCTAGTCACTTCCATACCAACAGTCTGGCTGTCCCCTTCCCCCGAGCCAGTGAGAAATAGTTGATGGCATCCTCTTTGCCAGTATGTCTTCTGTAAGCAGTTTCTGTTAGGCTGGAACAATACTCTTTTGGTGATTATGCTTGCGGGGATTTCACACAAAGGCTGTTAGGAAGTCTAAGGAATGGGAAGGTTGAAAACATTTTCAAATCAGAGGTAGAAAGAGCCTCAAACCCTTAGCCTTTTGATTAATCTGTATGAAGACAAAAAATCCCTCAGTTTTAAGACTGCAGTTGCCTTGGAGGACAAATTGATGCACATTTTCAGTTAGAGAGACATGCAGTCAACCTGTACTTTTGCTTCTGTTAGAACTTTGGCAATGGAAAAGGAAATCTTTGCTTATGTAAAACTCCATTCAGTCACAAATGGGAACACCTATGGGATACTCAACATATGGGAAAAAGTAGAAATTAGATTCTGTGGGTTGTTTTGTTGCTTTGTTTCGTTTTGTTTTACAAAAGATCCTGGCATCATCTTTGCTATTTGTGCTGGGATACACACAGGTGACTGGGATCTGCTGAGGCAATGTGTTATCTGCTCTGGAGCACGCACTTGCTTCTCAGAGAGGAGTACCTCACAGCTCCCAGGCTGTGTCTCCAGCTCTTTCTCCATGTCTCCTTTCTCACAGATGATAAATGAATAAAGGAAGTCCACAGTACTAACCACTTACCACTCCCATTGAGAGAGTAGGCAGTGGCTGTTTTAAAAGTTCTGTTTTTTTGGTTCGGGTTTTATTTATTTATTTATATTTACTTATTTGTTTTGTGGCTCCGTCACATTTCAGTTCAGTTGCAGTCTTTCTTTGGCCAGTAACAAGAGCAGCCTGGAGCAGCGGCTGGTGAGAAGTTTTGTTTTGTTTTTTTAACTGAATAGTAAAGTGCCAAGGCCTGGAGTTGAGTTGGAGGAGGGGAGAGGGCTTAAAAAGTGGGCGCAGGAGGAGGTGCCCTCAGATGGGGAAGGTAAAGGCAAAAAAAAGTCAGAAGTCAGTCCTGTTTGGAAAGGAATTTGATTAGTGAGTGTTGACTAAATATAGCACAGGGCTACATTACAGGTTAAAATATGGAATGGGTGGTGTAAAGTTCCAAGTTCGAATTTTCATATCATTGGAAAAATCAGGGAAAAACAAAAACTGTTCTAAAACGGGGATGTGATGACAAAAGATAAATGTTTACTTATTCGACACAGACAGTTTCTTTTTTTTTTCTTTCTTTTGAACCATTGGCGATTATTGAGTGAGTTCTGTGGTTTCTGTAAACATGATTGAAACCTGCCCTCACAGGATTTCGCTGTGTTTTGTTTGAAAGAGTTTAAAATAGTCCACAAAGATCTCCATGTTCGTCTTGAAAACATAACAAACCTTTCAAAATAGCCATAATCAGGGCAAAAAAAAAATATTGATGTTTCATTTGCCTTTGTTTTGTTGTAGAGAACTTTACCTCGATTTCATGCAAGGCCCCATCTCCTCCAAAAATAGAAAGGAAATTTCCACCTTATACCGGCTTTGGTTCTGAAGAGGATTCTCTCCGCTCCTGCATAGGCCTCATGCCCACACCTCATCAGAGGGACTTGAAGAAGTTCATGGAAAAAGACAGGTGCTTGAGGGAACCATTATTTGAGTCTGATCTTTCCCAGATGTGTTCGGGGTTTATAATATTGTCCTCATGACAAAACAGATGATACTTAATTTATCTCACTTCAAGTCCAGGGACATGTTATATAGCTTTTTAATGAAGTTGATTAATATATAAGTGTTAACAGGTTCTTCAATGCTTATTTTATTTATTTTCTTCCAGCTTCATTGAGAAAAAATTGACATACAATATTTGTCAAGTTATAAGTTTAAAATGTACAGCATGATGCTTTGATATATATATATTGAAAAATGATCACCACAGTAAGATTAGTTAAGATCCATCACCTCACATAGTTAGAATTTTTTTTTCTTGTGATGAGAACTTCTAAGATTTACTCTCTTAGAAACTTTCAGATATATAATACAGTATTATTGACTGTAGTCATCATGTTGTGTGTTACGTTCCCAGAACTTATTTATCTTATAGCTGGAAGTTTGTACCTCTTGATCCCCTTTACCCAATTCCCCCAACCTCCTCACCCCAGCCCCTGGCAACCATGAATCTGATCTCTATTTTTATGAGTTTGGGTTTTTTTTTTTTAAGATTCTACATATAAGTGAGATCATGCAATACTTGTCTTTGTCTGACTTATTTTACTTAGCATAATGCCCTCAAGGTCCATCCATGTTGTCTCAAATGGCAGGATTTCCCTTTTTATGGTTGAATAATACTCCGTTATGTGCATGTGTGTGTATGTATGAGATATATAAACATATATATATATATATGTTTCTTTATCCATTTATCTGTCAATGGATATTTTGATTGTTTCCCTGTCTTAGCTATTGCAAATAATGCTGCAGTGAACATGGGGGTACTGATATCTTTTTGGAACAGTGCTTTCATTTCTTTTGCATATATATCCATAAGTAGAATTGCTGGATCATATGGTAGTTCTATTTTTAATTTTTTGAAGAGACGCTATACTGTTTTCTATAGTGGTTACACCACTTTACATTCCCACCAATAGAGCAGAAGTGTTCTCGATTCTCCACATGCTCACATTGAGTGGTTATCTTAATGTGTCGCCTGGAAACCCTTCAAGCCATCTTATCCCCAATTTTATATTGCCTTTCCATGTATATGCATATATATATGCCTTTCCATATACATCTCTCCTCAAGATGGTCCCTAGGAAATGGTGTAGATTAGAGGTCAACAAACTTTTTCCGAAAGAGTCAGATAGTAAATATTTTTGGCTTTGCAGGCCACACGGCCTCTGTCACAACCACTTAGCTCTGCCGTTGTAGCATGAAAGCAGCCACAGTGGGTAAACAAATGTGTAACTACATTCCAGTAAAACTTGTTTATAGACATCGACATTTGAATTTCATATAATTTTTACATATCACAAAATACTCTTCTTTTGATTGTTTTCAATCTTTTAAAAATGTGCAGACTATCCTTAGCTCACAGGCCATACAAAAGCAGGTGGCGGAATGTATTTGGGCCCAGAGGCTGTATACAGTTTACCTACCCCTGGGATAGTAGCTTTTGTGATTTGTAAGTGTTTTTTAGAATGTTATTTGGTAATTACTGTGGTTTTACTTTGAGAGGTTTGGTTGAATTCAGTAGCCATAGATTGCTCACATGGTGGACTATAATTTCAAAAGATGGACTTTCCAAAGTGTTCCTAAGATATATGAGGAAAGATGTACCCCTGAGTCATGTGTATAGATAGATGTGGGCACTGCTCAGGGCTGTTTTTTGCTTCTGCAGGGAAAGCAGGCCGTGGAGAAAGAAGCTGATGGGGGAGAGTGGTGGGAAAATGTTGCAGATGCTTGGATAGGATGTGAGCTAAACGTTGAAGCCCTGCATGAGCGAAATAATGGGTCAGGAGAACCCGTGGAGGAAGATGATAAAAGGGAACATGTAGTAAGAGCAGGAGAGGAGAACAGGGCAGCATCCTGAATCTGATCAAACTGAATGGCATCACATGCTGTGGTAGAATATTTTGAGGTACAGAGGATAGTTTTGCTGTAAATTGTAAAAATGGTGAAAATATGTTCAGAATTGTACAGAACGTCTAAAAGGCTACCTTTGTCGTGACATGCTGTCCCTTGTCTTTTAAGAAATAACCTTTTGTTTTTAAGGACTTGGGAGTTTTGTCTTTAAGTTGCAGAGTTGATGCTGCTCAAAGTGTGGTCCTCATACTGGTTGGAAATACAAATTCTTGTGCCTTGCCCCTGACCTCCAGAGGCAGACTCTCTCGGGGTGGGGCCCGGTCCTGTGTTTTAACAAGCCTTCCAGGGGGCGGTTCCATGGTGGGCACCAGGGTTTGAGAACCACTGCTTTTGATCACAGAAGAGGGACCCAAACTCATACTCCATGTTCCCTTAGAGAGAGCAGTGTTTACAGCGAGATTCGAGGGCAGGACTTTTGGTGGCTACTTTTCACTAACTGCTGTTTTTAAGGGCAGCCACCCGAAGGAGGCGGGCAGGAAGAATGTCCCTATTGTAAAAGGAGAGGGAATTTTTCTTATAAGTAAACAAGATGAAACATGATCTAGGATGTTGCTTCTGGAACCCAGGGGGAAAACGGTTCCTTGTGGGTAATTGTCTTAGTCTCTCTTTCTGTCTGCACCACGTCAACTTGCCCACAGAGCACTGACTGTAGACAGCATTCTACGTTCTGGTCATGCTGTTGTGGCTGGAGGACGGTGGTAGAGGCACGAATGCCTCTAATTTCTTTTCTTTCTGTCCACTGCTCGTTCTGTGCCAGGAATACAACTCCCTCAAGCTCCTCCCACACAGTGACCTTGTTTCCATGGAAACTGGCACATTCAGCTGGAGACTTATACATGAGTTTGAATAACCCAAGGTTTTAAAAGCGTGAGAACCTAAGGAAGATGATGCTCACAAAGCATACAAAGAATAGTTTCTAAATGCAAATAAATAAACCGTGAATTGAGACGTGCAATACTACGTAACATGTGTTGATTATGTATATTGCTGTTGAAAGTTTTTCCTGGGTGCTCACTGTTACATGAGGTTAATGGTGATCTACTGTGAGTCGTTGGAGGAGATAGTTTCAAATTCAAGCATATGAGGTTTTTGATGGAATGAGGACCTTTATTGTCTGGGGAAAAATTCACTGGTGGCCTGCTGGGCAGATTGTCTAGTCTGACTTGGGAGAACCCGAGTAATAATATCTTTCTTGCTGCACCTGGCTGAATTAGTTACTTTGTCCTCCATGTGCTCACAATCCTCTGCTGATCACACCTCTAATAATAATATTACTAATAAAAAGCAATTTGTGTTTATGGTGTGCTAACTACTTTACAATACTCGATCTCATTTAATCCTCAAAACAACCTCATAAAGTAGATACTATTATTGTACCCATTCTTCACATGAGGAAACTGAGGCTCAGAGAGGCTATACAATGTGCCCAAGCTCACACAGCTAATCTTTAGTTGAACTAGGATTTGAACCCAGGGAAGCCTGGCTCCTGGAGTTCACCTTTCTTGCCACAGAACCTGTACTTAACACAGTGTGGACCAGTTACTTGTTTATATCTAGAGCAAGAGCTCCTTGAGGGCAGGGACTGGCTTTATTGCTTCTCTCACAGTTAGAGCAGTGCTGGCTGTATACTTGGGTTCAATCAGTATTTTGTCCAATAAGAGAAGGAATGATGAATAAATGAGTAAATAGAATGAACATTCACCCTTTTAGTTCTTAATGAATGACAGAATAGACAGTTATCCCAGACTTGTGTTATTCCTAATCAAATAGCATCTAAAAATTCATTTAATCTTAACCTCTGACTTATTTCAGATATTGTCCATCTGCTGTCTCCTTCAGTTATTTCCCCTTTAAAAAAGTTTTTCCCCTCAATAAAAATAAACCTTCACACCTCTTCTAACCATAAGATTATGGCTGTCTTTAAGGTTTTCAGTAAGTCTGTAGCCCTGGGTGAGCCATTCATTTTCTTAGTCAACAAATGAGTACCTGCTATGTGCCAAACACTGATCTTGGGGCTTGGCATACATCAGTGAACAAAGCAGACACAAAGCCCTGCCCTCATAGAACTTACATTCTAGCTGGAGAAGGCAGGAAATAAACAATAAAGATAATACAGAAGTACATTCTGTAGTATATAAAAGGTATTAAAGTACTATGGAAAAATAAAGAAGGTAGTAAGTTGCTATGAAAAGAATAAAGGGGAGCTTGGAGTGTGGGACTGAGGATCACCCATTTTCTATTTTAAACAGTATGGCCTGGATGGACCTTACTGAGGAGAGGAAACATTTTCTAGGCAGAAGGAACAGTCAGTGTAAAGGCCCTGAGCAAGGAGCAGGCTTGGGATGCACAGGGAGCAGGCAGGAGGTCAACATGGATACAAAAGATGAGTAATGGGCAGAATAGACAGATTAAGAGAGGTCCTGGGTGATCAGATCTCATAGGGCCTTGCAGATCATTGTAAGGATTCTTTTGACTGTAAGGGATGAGAGGAGCCATTGGGAGATTTGAGCAGAGGAGTGACTTGATCTGATTTACACAGTAAAAGAATCACTCCAGATGCATTGTTGAGAGTAGACTGTAAAAGGGCAATGGTGGAAGTAAAGATGAGTCAGGAGGCTACTGCAGTAGTCCAAGAGAAGTTATGATGGCTCGATCTGGGCGAGTGCCATGGAAGTGATGAGAAATGGCAGATTCTGGAAATATTTTGAAGGTTGATTCAATAGGATTTCCTGGCAGATTGGATATGATGTGTGAAGGAAGAGGTAACGACTCCCAAGGTTTCTCCAGCTAGGAAGATGGAGTTGCCATCTACTGAGATGAAAAGACTGTAGTTAGAGTAGATTTGGGGCAAGAACAGAAGTTGTTTTGGAACAAGTTAAGTTTGAGATGTCTATTAGTTATCTAGTGATGATACTGAGTTGCCAACTGGATAAATGAGTCTGGGGTTCGAGAGAGAGGTCTGAGCTAGAGGTAGAACTTTGGAAATCATCAGCATGTAGCTAGTATTGAAAGCGTGAGACTAGAAGAAATCACCAAAGGAGTGAGTATACACAGAGAAGTGGGTGACCAGGTTATTCCTTGTTATCCCTGGGACACCCCAAATTAAGAGCTTGAGGAAACAAGGAGGAACCAGCAGAGGAGAGTGAAAAGGAGCAAGCAAGGAGGTAGGAGCAAAACCAAGAGAATATAGGATCCTGGAAGCCAAGTGAAGCGAGAGTGTCATGGAAGAAGGGGTGATCGTTTGTACCAAGTGCTGCTGATTGGTGAAGTTAGACATAAAAATGAACCATTGGAATTGGCATTTGTGGAGATCATTGTTGACCTTGACAAGAGTAGTTTAGGGAGAGCAAACCTAATGGAAATGGATTTAAGAGTGAATGGGAGAAGAATTCAAGACAGTGACTATAGATAACTCCAGGCTGTGTGTAGAAAAAAATTAAGACATAGCTGCTGGACCTGGGAATTTGTCATTTGTTTTGAGACAGTGGGAAGAAACACATTTTAAAAAAAGCCAATCAATAATACAAAGTCTGTACATGCTAAGTTGGGTGCCGTGGATAACAATTGGTGCAGAAGGCATGAATAGGAGGTCAGCTGAGTGGGCAGCCATGGTCAAGATGAGCTCTACTGATGGGGGCCCAAATGGATGGACAGGACTCTGGGCAGGCATAGAAAAAGATGAGGGTGTACCCTGGGAGAAGGGATGACACCAAGTGAAGACTGGAAGTAGAAACAAGCACAGTGTGGGGCACTAAATGAAGTGGCCTGTGTGACTTGACTAGGGTGTGTATTGTAGGTAGTCATGACAAATAGCTGTCTGTGTATGTATTTGAACCTGACTGTTGATGGCTCAGAAAGCCAGATTGAGCAGTATCGGTGGTATGATCGGAAGCAGGGAAAATGTTGAAGTTTTTTTGAGTGCTGGGAGTATTGTGATAAAAAGAGTTGTTTAGAGAAGTTTAATAATTAGCTTATTAGTCAAGGAAATAATCTGAAGATACATGCAAGTGTTTTTCAAAGTGTGCTCTGGGAATAAGTTCACCAGAATCTCCTGGGGAGCTTTTTAAAAATGCAGGATTCTGGAGATGCAAGCTAAACTACTGAATCCATATCTCTGGGGGTAGGACTCTGGGTTCCGTATATTTAACAAGCTCCCCAGGTGACTTTCATACACAATAAAGTTTGTGAACTACTGGTCTAAAGATTTTGTTTGAGTAGATTACATTCCTGATTGATAAGCTCTCTAGAAAACTAGACTTAGGTGACAAAAAGGTGTATTAAACATGAGAAATCCATACTTAATGTACACACTTACAAATTTATAAAAGTTTTAAGAAACGAAATTTGCAGCAGTATACATTTGGCCTGACATTAGACCTCATTCAGTTGTTTCAGTGATATTTGAAGCATCTGTAAAAGTTATGGGTCTTTCATGAGAGAGGGGTTACCAAATCTGTTTGTTACTTATAAATCCAATTATATACCAGGGAATATGGTTGACAAGATATAGCGGCTCCCCCCACCCCCTCCGCCATGCAGTGTGATGTCTGTCTGAAGCCTGGGAAACTAGGGACTAAGAAAATAGCTCTGGAGATCTGGCTGTTTTACTTGAGCTGTCCTGGGGCTAGCCTTCCAAATTGTTACTTTCCATTTCACTTGAGGCCTCCAGCTGGGAATCACGGTGCCATGCTCTTTCAGCCCGGCTTCCTTGGACAGTCAGAGAAAGGGGTGGAGAAAAGCACCGTTTGCCTCTGCAGATCAGAAATAAGCTTTTTTGTTCCTTTTTAAATCACTGCGACCACAAAGGAGAGAATGAATTTGAACATAGGAGAATCTAAAAGCAAGGACCTCCCTACCTAGAGTTGTGACAGGGAAGGGCCAAAGTACATGGTTTATTTTACTCTGTGCCTCCTTGCGACAACAATTTTGATTATCAAAGACCTCCCAAAGGATTTCGTATTTGCCATGCAGTCCACCTTTCACTAGCTGGTATCCACAGACTGGCTTCTGCTGACAGACCATAAATTAATTTCTTCAATGACCAGGCAATTGATTTGGGGAACTTTTGATTCTAGAATTTGATCTCCTCTTCAGTCTACTAGACCATTCTATTCATGCATAGAATTCTAAGTGCAAAATCCAATCTATACAGATTTTTTAACAACTTTGTACAAACATTTATTGAGTACTTAGAATGTAAAAAGTGTTATGTTAGACAGCGATTAATAACATGTGGTCCTTGCCTTCAGAAAACAGACTTGTAACGGCGACTTAACAGTATGAGTGACAAGTGTTGTGAAAGGGGAGGTCTATCATATTTAATATAGCATTTGAAAGGGGAAAGGTAATTTTTTAAAACTTTTTTTAATTTTTTAATTTTTAAAATTTTTTCTTGCTGACACGATTGGTGTGATTGTTGACCAGCTTTATGAGTAGGGAGCAACCATTTCATGCAGATGATTTGAGCAGTGCGTTTATGACATTTGTTGTGGGTACATTTTCCCAGTGTGTTACCCCGGATATCAAAACGATAAGTAATATTTTAATCAACTGAGAAAATACCTCTGCATTATAGATTTAGAGACCTAATAAGAAGATGGTTGAACTTTTTCAGCCTCCGAGAGTTTATGCTACTGTCTTAAAACCATAGCACACCTGGGGGATGGGAAGTGGGTAAAATGGATGAAGGGGGTCAAAGGTGCAAACTTCTAGTTATAAAATATTTTAAGTCATGGGGATGTGATGTACAGCATGATGGTGATAGTCAATAATGCTGTAGTACATATTTCAAAGTTGCTAAGAGAGTAGATCTTAAAAGTTACCATCATGAGAAAAACATTTTTGTAATTAGGTGTGGTGATGGATGTTAACTAGACTGATTGTGGTGATCATCTCACAATATATACAAATATCAAATCATTGTGTTGTACACCGGAAGCTAATCTAATGTTATGTGTCAATTATACCTCAATTTAAAAAAACCAGAGCATACCTTTTGCAGGGTTTTTGTTGTTGTTGTTACATGCATAATGTGTGGAAGATTACTTGTATAATGTTATAATCCTCATTTTTCTTCCATTTAGCTATGGCAACATAAGCAACAGGCTCCGGTTTTTTGCAAAACTAATTACAAAAAAACGTGCTGAAATGGACAGGCTGTTTATTATTTCCTATTTTTTCAGTGATGACACAATTTCAGTGTTTGAACCCATAGAGAGGAATTCAGGTAAGAGACGTCACCTTTTGTAGCAATTTCCTCAGAACAGTTAACTGTCTCTTCATGTTGAAAGTTAGGGACTGTGATCTGATTTTTATAGCCTAGATGATCTAAGATAGTGGCTTTCATTTTTTATTTTAACCACTAAAGTTCATTTTACAAAGATCTCTTAAATGGGAGCCCAGACATATAAAATGATAAAAGAGGAACAGTTTTGGTTGGCTCAGAACTGGGGGGCTTGGGATACCTCCTTATGACACTATCCCCACTTCCTCTGTGGCCTCCAAGGCACCTCTGTGGAATCCAAGGGCTGCAAAATCATGGTCCAGCTACCGCCAGTTCCACTCACAGCCAGCAAGACAAGAAGAAATCTGTTTTCTTGAGAGTACCACTTACACAATTTTTGTTTAGTTCTTAAGACAAGAATCCCAGATTAACAAATTTAATCTTCAGAGTCTATTTCCCTCTGGCTTTTCTGTCTGTTGAGGCTGCCAAGGTTCCAGCTCCCAGTCCCAGGGAGTGCCCCTGTGCAGTGCACTGATATGGTGGCCATGGCTGAAGAGAGCCATTGATTTTGACTTACAAATGATGGAGCTGTAGGGCTCTGTTCTTTGTCCCAGCATGTTTAAAACTTTTATCTGTGCTGAAGACACACGTTTGGGAAGAATAATCAGAGGTATGCTGTTTAACTGGCTCTCTTAAAAAATTTTAAAAGCCCTGTCTTGTACCATTTGTCAATTTCTGTGATGTAAATACCGAAACCGTGGCCAATTTCAAGCAACCAACAGTTTAACAACTGACTTGCAAAAATCCCTGAAAATTTAACAGTCAGCCCTTACAGGCTGGTATGAGCCGGTCAGGGCACCAATGAATAATGAATAATTTGTGTAACTAAGGCTCCACAGTGATTTGAATAATGGATCAAATCTTAAAATATGAAATCAGATAAGGACGAATAAAAAAGTCACGCTCCTAAAGGCCAAGAAAAATCAACTCTGTGCATTTAGAATGGGGACGATGCGGCTAAACACATTGCAGCATTCGTAAAACAGAACGGGTGATGGCAGTCAGCTGCAGGCTTGCTAGTAGTAATAGCAGTCCCGATGGAGTACCTACTGTTATCCTTCTCAGACCTTTATGAGGTTAAGTTTTGTGTTAGTCCAGGTCCTCCAAGAGGCAAACCCCACGATGAGATTAAATATGCAAGAGATTTATTAGGGGAAATGCTGGTGAGGGAAAACATGGCAGGAGCCAGAAGAGGCCAAGAGAGTCAGCAGACAACGGTACATGTGGGACTCCTCTGAAAGACAGAGGAAAGGACAAAAGGGGAAGGTCTTAGACTGCAGTGAACCTCTAAGAAAGCTTTGGCAAGGCTGACTGGGAGTCCTGGAGCCAAAGTCACCATGGGCCTGCCTTGGTATCCCTGCCTTGCTCAGTCACGCGTTGGCAGCCGCCTGTGAAAAGCGTGACCTCAGCACAAATCTGGCGATAGAATTCAGAACCTAACAATCAACTATGTTCCCCACAGCAGACACTCTAAGAAGCACATCTTCATGGCCCCCCCACAAATATTATCCCCATTTACCAGTGAGAATGCAGAGAGGTTCAGAGAGATGAAATAACTCCCAAAGAGCATCCAGCAAGCAAGCAACACAGCCAGGATGGACTCCAGTTCAATTTGGCTACCAGGTCTCTGTCTTTCCAGCACTGCTGGTTTCTGAACGTGGTAGGAGTGTGATGAAGCTGATCCCGAATGCTTATCTGACCTCAGGTTGTATTCATAGGTTTGAAGATTTCAGTTCAGTATCAGTTGGAAGATACTGGACTCCCGTGTTCAACTCTGCTCACTGCTTTCCAGGAGGTCAAAAACCAAATAATGCCCAGAAAAGAGCAGATAAAATGGTGAGAATTCTGGAGAGTAAGAAAAATGAGGCATTGCTCAAAGAAGCAAAGAGATTTTACCTGTAGAAAAAAAGAGAGGAACTCCCACAGTTATCTTCAAACAATTAAGTAAGGTCCTTTCCAGAAATGGGGCATCTTACATTTTATCCGTGTGTCAAATAGGTGGAAATCAGCCCAGGTGAGAAATTTTCTACCTGGTACAGTTCGGACACGCCCTAAAGCTGTTCCTGATGTCCCAATTCCCAGGATGCTGCTGGATGTATCGCCAGTACTTGCTAAGTGTTTATTTAAGTGTTGGGATTGGGAAGGGAGTAGAGCGAGGAAAGGAGAGACTGGAATGGCACACCGCTTTTTTTCTTTACGCACTCACCTAGGAAGTCACATTTCTTTACCCACTGCCTCACTCTTCCCTTAAGTACTGTAGGCAGTGTGAGTTCATAGCTAAGTTGTATGGTCTGTGTTTGAGCCTGAAGTCACTCTGAAGGCAAGTTGTCTGAGTCTTTGGAGAACAGAGTCGACTCATTAATTTGTCTCTTTTCCTATAGGGTTTACGGGTGGGATGTTCTTGAAAAGAAGTCGTGTTAAGAAGCCTGGACAAGAAGTCTTTAAAAGTGAACTGTCGGAATACATCAAGGCTGAGGAGTTGTATATTGGAGCCAAAGTGAACGTGAATGGCTACCTGTTTCTTTTGCTCAATGCCGATGAGTACACCTTAAAGTACATGGAGAAGAATTCGGATAAGGTGAACTTACTTTGTATAATTAATTCTTGACTTGCCTCTCTGCAGTCTGTGTTTTTCTTGCTCTAGGCCTTTTCTTCTTCCTCTTGCCTCCAGTTTTACATTTACATTGTGCATTCACACATGTGGGTATGAATAATGGATCCGCACGACTTGGCCACAGGTCCTGCGTCCCAGAGGCCAGGGCCCGGTCTACTCTGTTTACGTGCTGGGTTCTCCGCCGCCCAGCATCACGGATGCCAGGCACAGGCAGGAGGCAGGCCTAGGGTTGAATCAAGTTTCCTGGGTTTTCTGCTGACGCTGACAATGTTTTCAGAAAGAAATTCAGCAACTATCGGAAAGGAAGACAATCTGGTGCCACACACTGTGCCATCCCAGTTAATTGGCACAGGCCTGCCGAGAAGGCCAAGACCTGAACAAACAGAAACCCCAAGGGAACCTGATAGTTGCTGGGGTTGCAACTTCGCATAACAGGAGCCACCTGAGGCCTAAATGAGACTTCAAGGACAAATTGGCAACAGTGAGCTCAAAGAGTGTTTTCATTTGAAATAAGATGGCAGATGGGTACTGTTACTAAGAAGACTGTTATAGCAGTGCTGTTCAGTAAAAATAACACGTGGACAGTCTTGATTCTAAGTGGACTAGTTCGGTGTGCAGACGTGTATATTACAGAACCATTGCCTAATACTGAAAAATCTATCTAGAAACAATTTTAAAAGTCTGCTTGTAAATATTTATGTGTCAATTATCTATCTGTCTATCTAATCTAATCTAATCTATCTATCTGTCTGTCTATATACACATACACATACACAGTGCTAATTCCATTTCATTTATATATAAAATGCTCAGGGGTGAGTTGCTAAGATAAGTCTCTCTGTATATCACATTACCCGTTCCAGTTTGGGTCCTCTGAGAAGCAGCTACCAAGACACAATTAGACACGCAGGAGATGTATTGGGGGAAATGTGAATGAAGGATAAAGGGAGAGGGAGCAGGAGCGGGTGAGGAGACTGAGATGGAGGTCTGACCCCTGAGAAAGGAGATGGAAGGAAGGAGGGCAGGATGGGAAGACAGACTGTAGCAGAGAAGTCTCAGGTCAGGCAGGAGGGGCCCAGTTCCAGTGCCACCTCCATGCTCAGTAATTGGATGGGAACAGTCTGGGGCGAGTATGTCCCCTGGAGGATCTCTGAAATTCAGCTGCAGTGATCCCGAAGGTACGGCAGCTGGGGGCTGTCAGCTAACAGCGCTCCTCTCTGGTCTCTCTCGATGGCAGCCCTGGGCACCCTCTGGGGCCACCACACCATCTCTCCATTTAGCAGCGTTAGGAACTTGGGTTAGCGTAAAACCATGACCTGGGAGCTCTTCAAAAGCACTGAATTCAGGTGAGAGGCTCCATAATAGGGCAGTTAGATTTCTGGAGACCAGTAAGCTTGGCTAGGAAACCGGACTTCTTATGAGCTGAGGAGCCTTAGTCACGTTTCTTCCCTGAGCTTCACTTTCCTCTTCCTTAAAATGGAAGTAACAACAGTGCCTATTTCAGAGAGTTGCTATGAAGACTTGGTGCGATTATGTGCTAAGTGCTTAGCTCTGTGTGACCCATAGCAAACCCAGTCAGTGTATGATTTACAATAGCTATTATAAATTAGAGCTCCATTTTCAAACACAGGGCAAACCTGTACTTTAACAGAAAATGTATATATGTATACACACACACACACACACACACACACACACACACACACGACACAAAGGGCTTTTCTCCTTTCAGGAAGATAAAAGCAGGGTAGGACGTTATCTGGTATCAGCATCCCAAGTGAAAACTGCATTATTTTAAAACCACCCTTAACAAGGGCACTCTAAGCAGAGAAAGGTTAGTATCAGTCTGAGGAGTCTTTTCAAAAGACCTACGAGATCCTATCATGGAAATAGATGAAAGGAAATGCAAAAAAGGGAGGGAATGGGGGGCTGCAATAGGTACCAAACCCCCTGGTGGAAGACAGGGAGCTTTATGCTAAGTTACCCTCAATGTTTTTATTTTCCTATTTAGTCTTCTCCTTTGTTAGCTCTTTGCTGTAATTATTTACAGCCTTATGCTTTACTGGATTGAATAAGTTTTCTTATAGAGTCAAAAACCAAATCACAGTGAAGGACAGAGGAACTAGAGGCTGCCTGGAGGGTTGCATTAAGGGGCCTGCAGTGTGTATAAGACCTTTGACACCCAGCCTTGCTCTGTTCGGTGCATCGCCTGGTGGCCAGCAGTTCCAGTGGGCTCATTCTAAAGAGCTAGAGAAAATGGGGGTCTCATTATTCAACTTCGAGTCCCCATTCTCTCCATTAGGGTTTCCCAACATATAGGGGTTAAAGGGAGGAGGCTGAGGTGGAAACAGGGAGTTCTTTTCTGATTCGTGTGGCTCGTTGTCCCTTGGATCTGGTTCTGTGCTAATGTCACTCATTGTCCTAAAGCCTTAGCTGAAGACATGCAAACCTAGTCATGTCTTCTCTGTGTTGGTCTCTATGGAAAGATAGACCCAGCCAAGTTCAGGTTCACAGTGTGAGGTTGCTTTGCTGGCCATCAGAAAGATTGGGCTCCCTATCTTAAGTATCTTTCCTTTCTTTTCCCCCTTCTAGTTTCCTTTCAGCAACATTGAACTTGCCCTACAAAAAGTAAAAGAAGAAGAATCAAAATCCAGAGAGCTCAAGCAGGTATTTGCAGCTGCGGATTGTATGCACACGAAGATGGTAGATTATAATATATTCAGGTAAGCCATATTCTGCTAGCAGTAATCTCTCTTTGCGAGGTTGTCCAAAGAGCAGAAAGAATGATTTCTTCCCCAGCGTTTCTTAACGGATTTACTACAGACTTTGTATTAGAAATTGGCATTTCTCTGCATTCGTATTACTTTATGGTCAGCTTTTGCCCGTGTCTTGTAAATTGTATACATTTGCATATAAAAGAAGTTCATAGGGGAGAACAGAGAGACACACATTGTGCTGTGAATCATTGTGTTGTGAATCACGCATTGGTGTTAAGGATCATGGGAATGTCTGAAAGGGTGCATCCGGGTGACAAAGGCTGAAAACAGTGCAGCTAAGAGCATCCTTCTGAAATCAGAGGAACAAAGGACGGACATCTTCCTAGGAATGGGATCCAGTTGGAAAAGACAGTGGGAAGTTCACCGGTTATCAGAGAAAAGGTGATACACATGCATCTCTGTGTATATGCGCTCACACACATCTGTGTATTTTGAAAGACAAAAAAATGTAGAAATCAAGGGGAAAATATATAACCGTAGATAGAGAAAATCATTATTCATGATTTCTTATAATATTTCTAAGACTAAGCTGAACTCTAGGACTGCCCAGTGACTGACCGAGGCAAATTTCCAAACAGCGGAAACACAGGGAAATTCAAATTCAGGCTCTGGTACAATTGTGAGACTTCTTAGCCTGAAAACAAAGTGAATGGAGCGTTCAGGAGAATGTAAATTAAATCATGGATGGAGGACAAAGAGGACTTTCTCTTTAGGCTGAGAATTCTGGCTCCTGAAAACAATAGCAGCTGAAAGCTATATAGGAAACTCGGCTTGATGCAGTCAAGATGTGGCTGAGAAATGAAGACATGAGCCCAGGAGAGGGTGAGGGGAGGTCTGACTTTGTGGCTGAAGTTGCCTACTGCATCAGTACCTGGTGACCTGAGCCCACCACTAGGCCCGGAGTGTCCCCAAAGCTCATTTGTTGTTTGAACAAAGCTCTTTTGTGTCTCCAGAATGCTCTTTTGAGGGCAGCACTCAGAGGACATATTTTTATTGTTTCGAATGCCCAAGCTTCTGGGATCAATAAGAATTTATGGTTCTTTGTTAGTGTTCAGAGTAGTATACATGTTCACGGCCGTTTGGAAAACAAATGGAGGCAGGGTAAAGAGCAAAGACAATTGCTCAGGCCGTGGGCTAGTGGAGAGCTGTGGAGGAGAAAAGACACTTCCATCAGAAGTGGGGGAGTGGTTTCGTTTTATTAATTTGTGTTCTTTTACAAAAGCGTCCGTTCTCCCAGTACTCTCGCAAAGTCTATTGGAAACACTTTAGTGAATTAGTGGGGCTTTGGGGGAAGCACTTAGGCCAGGCAGGAGATCCAAGGAGGAAGGATTGCTCTACGGCTGGAAGCCTGACCCTAGTCACAGGCGGAATAAAGGCCGGCCACACCGTGTGATTGGAAGGCGACCGGATGCTCAGAAAGAACCAGCTCCTGATAATTAGGCCCTCTCTTGGTCAGAAATTCTTTATGGTGGAAATCAGATCAGGCTGTACCCAGCTTGAAAAAGCCTTCAGTGGCTGGCCATTGTTCTTACAGTAAGATCCAAACATGTCATTGCAGCCTTGAGGGCCGTGGCTCTGTATTTCCAGTGGTATCCCTTTTCCTGCAGCCCTGTCCTCTGACCTTACTGGCTGTCACTCAGTTTCTCAAACACATCCAGCTCTTCCCCTCCTCCGAGCCTGTGCACACGCAGTTCTGTCTGCTCGGAGAGCCCACACCACCATCTGTCTCAGGGCAAACTCCGGGACTCACTGTAAATGCCAGTCCCTCAGAGGGCCTTTCTGACTGTTCTCCCTAAAGTAGACCACTCAGCCCCTTGTTTATATTTGTCACAGCCCTAGCACAACTTGCAGTTACTTTGTTTAGATACCTGGACTTGGCATGTGTGTGCTTGGGTGTGTCTTCTGCTGTCAGAATGTGAGCTTTCTGAGGGGCAGGGACCTCCATGGCCCAGCTCACTGCCCTCAACCTGGCATCTAGCGCCGGGCTCACTACGTATCTCAGCTCCTGAATGGAATGATGAGATGTGAGAATGCTTCTTGGGGGTTCTGGTTTGGAGGTGGTGACCTTCTCTCCAGATGAGAGTGTAGAGCAGGAGTCAGGATGCCCCAATGCATGTGATACGCCCAGTGTCGGGCACTGGGCCTCTGTGCTTGGCCCACAGCTGTGGGTCCCTAGCTCTGGTCTTCAGCTTTCTTTTTCGTGCCTTACACTCTTTCCTGGGCAGAGGCAAAGGAACTACATAGCCAGTTGCTGTCACACCACATCCTAATTTAAATCTGTGCTTGGAGCCTTTACTAGCTCATATTTGTCTTTTTTATTTTTTTCATTGACGTATAGTCAGTTTCATATTTGTCTTTTATTTCTGTGTGTATGTTCTGATGCTTCTCACCAGAACCTCACCTCTTTGAGGGCAGGGACCTTCTCTTCCTCGTTTCCTGCTTTTTAGCCTTACCACTTTTCACAGTGCCTGGCAGATAGGAGGGTGTTAATAAATATTTGTTGAGTGGCTGCATTTTATCCAGCCCTCAGTGCTTTGGCTGTCAGCTGACAGCTGAGTTCTCCATTCAGCTCCTCAGGCTCAGACCTTTTTCCTGAAGCATAGATCTGGAAATACACATGCCTCCGGGACATCTCCCTTTGGATGTCCCTTAGACTTCTGGGCATCCCATAATTATGTTCCCTAAATTGACCTCATTTTCTTCCCCCATAAAGTTGCAGCCGGGGACCCTATCTTGGTAAAGGCCACTGTACTTGTCCCCAGGGCCTGGGCCAGGGTCTGCCTTTTCTTTCCCCTCTCTTGACCTCTCCCAACCTCTGAAAATTGCACTTTTTAAACTCCCTCTCTTCATCCCCAGCTTCACTGTTGCCATTCAACTTTTCTTCTGTTCCCTTGGACTCTCTTGAGAGCTGCATAACTCATCTCCTTTTCTTACTTCTCATCCTCCAAAGCTGTGCCAGAGTGACCTTCCCAAAATCTGATCATGTCATTCCTGTGCTCTAGGACAGCTCCCAACCATTCAGTGTTTTGTGTGAGTTTGGTCATGATCTGACCCTTGCCTGCATCTCTTGCCTTCTTCCCATCTCACTGAAAGAATTGTAAAAGTGCCCGTTTATCGAGTACTTCCTATGTGCCATACATCGTGCTAAATGCTTTTCACATATTACCCACTGGTAGCCCCTGTTGAGTTATTTGTTTACTTCCCTGTCTCCACAGTTGGCGCCTGCCAAGTACAATAGATGTTTGTTGAATAATTTAATGAATGATCCTATTTCTCAAGGAACATTCTGTCTAAAGTTTGCAGCAAACAAGTAAATAATTGATTACCTTGCACTGGGGAAGGGTGATCAGTCTCTGACTATAGGGGAGTCAGGGAGAGCTTGACCCTTGCAAGTCAGATGACTCAGGCAACTCACTTCCCCTACCTGCACCTCACTCTTTTGCCCGTATAATGGTCTCTAAGGCCCCTTCCAGGCGCTGACATTCTGAAACTCTTAAAATGTAGGTTTAGAAATACACTTGTAAAATGTTCCCTTTTTAAATGTGTGCATTGAAATAGTAGAGTGGGCAGGCAGGGGCAGGACTGCAGTGTAGGCCTCAGGGCTTCACCAGTGTGCTCCTGGTTCTCCCCCCGGCTCACATGCCTGGCACTCTCGGTACGTACCAGGGGACCCATGGCCCGGGCTTGCTGCTCTGGGCAATGGTCCAAGCCCTGGGCATTTCCTTTCTTCTCAGAGATGTGTAACTCTTCTCAGGGAAACCCTGCGGATGGGAGCTAATAAACTGTCTCTACGTAAGATGCCACGGTTGATAATGGATAAATGATTAACTTGTGGGCCTTCCTGAGATATTTGCCTCAAAATTGACCTGAAGGAGTGCAGGGGCAAGTGGAACCAGAAGGCAATTTGATGAGACAGGGTTTCTCTCCTGCCTTGTGGGGGTCACTGGTTCTGCCTCTAGGCTGGACCTATTTCTCTGGGACCCTTTCATCATGGTCTGTCACATTGGCCTAAGAGAACTGTTGGTTGTTATTGAAGTCAGTGCAGAGAGCCTTTCTCAGAGCCTCGATACCTAATGGGCAGATTTCAGCAGGGAACCAGCCAGGGGCTAGGTTAGCAGGGCTAGTGTTTTGGGCAGTTTGGAACGTGGGCAAGGCAAGTCTTCCTGATGTGGGCCCTGGACTCTGAACCACAGCTGACAGCAGCAGTGAGAGCCGCATGCCAGGGAAGACGTGGCCAGTCCCTCCCTCTGGTCACCTTCCCATCAGAGATGACACCTGCCCCGTGTAGCCTGCATGTATTTTGGTCTTCTGTGTTCACCTCTCTTTCCCACCTGAGTACAACCTTAGAGGGTAGGGCCCATGCCTGGTTCACCCTTGGGTCTTTCCCAGATACCTCCAGCACCCAGTGGCTCAGGCCTCAGTGAATGCAGGGAATTATTACACAGTTCTTCTTCAGACCCCCATTAGCAATTTCAGGTTCAGGAGATTTCCTGTGAGCATCCATGTAACACATTCCTTCTAAGATTTAGAGCCTTGAGGAAATAATGCTTTTTTATAAAATTCAAATTCTTCCTGAGAGAGGTAGTATATAATGCAGTAAATAGATCTGATTTTAGACTTGTAGACTTGCATCCAAATCTCAGCTCTGGCATTTGATGGCCTTGAGTAAGTTGCCGAGCAGTGTTTTCACCTGCAAAATGGGAATGCTAATAATACCTACTGTGTAGAGCTGTTGTGATGAATAAATCTGATGATGCGTGTAAAGTTCTTATTGAAGCACACTATAGTGCAGAGTGGACACTAGAAAATGAAAACCCATTATCCCAACAGTTGGAATAGTTCGAAAAAGTCACCAAAAATAGTGGTAGGAATCTATGTCCTGTTTTTGGTATTTCAGCAAGTTGTGTGTTTACTCTTGATGAAATCATTGAAAATATTCTTTTACT